AGAAGAGATACGGGAAGATAATTCGTTGAAACCTTTCGAGTTTTCTGAGTTCTTTATTAGAGCGTAGCCGGTAAGCGTTTATGGCAGCTTTATGAGGATGACTGGGGTAGCGACCGTCGTAAAAGTCATCGAAAAGGAAACCTAACCCAACGGTGAAACAACAATAAGACGAACAAATCCGTAATATTAACAGTAGAGTGTAGCGATATCAACTAATGTAATTCAACTAAAGAATAGTAAAATCCTTCTACGTATTTCTGTGTGTCGTGTCTTCTCCACTTTTATCTCGGTCTAGAAACAAAAAATAGTAATGAAAAAGAAAGAAATATTACAGGCGGCAGGAGAACGAGTCGGAAAAGAGAGAACAAAAGGGGTGCGGTAGAGCGGAGATCAGAGGTGTCGGTGTACTAACAATTATCTCGTTCGTCGTGGTCGTGGTCGTAGTCGTGATCGTCGTGGTTGTCGTGGTTGTCGTGGTCGTCGGCAATATTATAATAATAATCGTAGGAGTTCACGGCTCTCTCCCATTGACCGCCTCGCTGACTGGAATAAAACGCAACTACGTGATATTGTATTGCGGGCTTACGATAGTTAGGTCTCTCTCTGTCGCCTCTCGTTTTCAGCACGACTTCCTGGTAATTAATACTATGTTCTCGTTATAACTTTACGCTAGTTCCACCTTCGCGCAATGCTAAAGATTTTTTTCGTTTCTTTTCGGTTTTTCTTTTTTCTCATATCATTTCTCTCTTCTCTTACTCACTCTTCTTTCCACACACACGCGCGTCCTCTTGCTCTGTCTCACTCTCTCCCTCTCTCGCACTCTATCACCCTCTTGCGTTTTCTCCGCTTCAATCTTCCACGATGCAGGATAGCACGCGAACGTTCCGCAGAAAGTTTCGTTTGCGACCATCCTGCGTAACAAGACTGCCTCTCGTTTGTTATACTTCTCTTCTCTATCCGATCGTTACGAGGAATCTCTTCGTGCATCCTCCCTTTTTCTTTTTCTATATAATATACTTTATAAAATACATTAGTTTACAAACAACGTGGATTAAGTGCCGACGTCCCGCGGAAGTTATCACAGCTCAGGCTCGATCGTGGAACGGCTCGACTAAGAACTCTACCCGGGCGAAACTAGTGGAAGAACTCTAGCTCGAGGAAAAGAAAGCACATTTTTCGCGTGGTTCGCGCGCTACCACCTCGCATGAACTACTCGACGAATATCGCTTACATCGTTATTTCTCCTGAACCGGGTACGCTTCGGACGTCAGTCATAAACGCATGATTTTTCACCCTTGTTTTCTCTCACTCTCTCTCACACTCTCTCTCTCTCTCTCTCTCTCTCTTTTTCTCTCAGCTTCGCGTTGATTACGGAAAATAGTACTAGAAATATCAGGGTAAAACAGGATCGCGTTACGGAGCTGCGCAACCGACTGGCAGAGACGTCGATCATTAGAACAATAAGACTATCTTATCGTGCTACATACATATTTACAAAGCCTCCGGCATAGAGGCACCACACTCCCTTCTTTCGATTTTCTTTACTGAATCCGAAACGTGCACTAACGCGGGAAGCAACGGGAAGGCATTCATTCGAAGGGCAGCTCGTTTCTTCCGCTAACCTTAAACTCTCTGTCTGGACTGAACTCTCCGGTTAAAATAAATATCTTCGAATTACTGTCCGCTAAAAGCGCCATTCCCGAACGCGAATTCGCCCGAAGGATTCGCTGCGATTCGGAACGGTTAGTAAAATCGTGATGATAGTGCATGTTCCGGACGTATCTACAATGAGGCAAGATCCCTTCAACGAATACCCTTTCACCATCCATCGAACCACGGTTGTACCTACGCTATATCATCCGCTCTTTATGGTTGCGTCGATACCGAACACGAAGAACGTACAAAGAATCCTGAACGGGTGGTTGCACGATTTGCAAAAATATTTCTCAACTATCTCCTACATTTTTCTTGCTCCATTTCTTTTTTTTTTATCTCGCTTAATTTTTTCCAAATACTAACTTTTAACGAGGGGGGTGAGGACTAATATCTTTTTAAGAGTTAACGGTAACTGCCACCCTCGCGCGAGGGCAATTGGATGGTATAATTTTCTTTTTTTCTTTTTTTTTTCATTTTTTTTTTTTCTATTTTTTCTTTTTATACTGTAGTAGATAAATCTCTAACTTCTGCTTTGTCTCGAACGGAAAAGTCGATATTTATCGCTCTTAAAATGTGTTAATTTCACGCGGAAAAATGTCGCTATATAATATTTCATCTCACTATCTAACGAGCACTTCGCGTTTGAATTGGACATGTGGAGATGGGATAATCGGATAAAAGTTACAATTTGATCGAGCTTTGTCGTCGAAACTAGTCTCTGCAGACGGAAAGGGAAAAATGTCCGGGCCGTTGCAGCGACGTTCTTCTTCTACTCTCCTCTCACGTTCGGATCCGGTAATCGTCAACAACATACCGGCATCGTACGGAATAATAACTCTGATAAACGAGAAATAACGAATCGTTACAACGTCAGGATGTTTTCGGACCACAATCTCTTGCGAACCCTCGCCCTCTCGCGTCCCTACGTATCCCTGGAAAAAAGTACAACTTCATACTCCGATGAATAGTGGACGATGCAAGCGGAAAGCTGAGACTAATGGTCGCATTGGTTTAAGAATACCGCGACGATAAATAATGGCAAAAGGAAAAATTGAACACGGGCAAATTGCGCGATTCCCCATGAAGCGGAAGAGAATGCTCGATGAGGAAAGATGAGAAAAGAAAGGAGGAAAGTTGGACGATTACCTTAGGATCACTTTTTCCATCAGCATAAACAGACAACCTTCCGAGTGATTGGCAGGAAGTAAAGACTTGAGGAGTTCCCTGATAAGGGCCTCGGTCATTCCTGGCGAAGTACGTTCCGCAGTCTCGAACGCATTGCGCAGTTCTTCTATCGCGCCTCCGTTCTTGCCAATGCCGCTTCCGCCCTCGCCATTATTGTCTCTTGCCGAATATTGATGCTTCCGTTGAAGCTGCGATACAATAGAAGCAAAACAAAGGCTAAATTTTTGCATCTTGGCGCGTGCGCGAGTGATCCTGCCGTAGGAAAAAGAAACGAAACTCGAATCGGTAATATCTAGGACACATTTTTCTCTAGCATTTTCCCTACGTTTCCGCTACAGCTGAAAGAACAACGGGAAACACTCGATGCTCGCCTACAGAGAAAACATTTACCTCGGAAAGGAGAGGTAAAACAACACCGGAAAGAGCTGCGCTTCGCGGATGCTTTAATTCCTGCGAGCTCCTTCTCTGTTTGTCTTCACCGGGCCTATGGTCCACCATAGGTACGACAGGTACGTCTGGTTTACTGTTCCTCTTCTCCTTCGCGCTGAACTCCCTTTCCCTCTCTCTGTCCCTCTCTCGCCCTTCTCTGTCCCGTTCCCTGTCTCTGCTATCTCTGCTATCACGCATCTCCTTCAATTCCCTCAACGAGGAATCCCGATTGAAGTCCCGGTAATCTCGGTCCTCTCGTTTCTCTCGCGTGTCCACGGGCGGCGGTGGCGCAGCCTCGTGCGGTCGGGACTGAAAGACACGATTAAATTCCAGCGATATTAAAAAACAGTCATCACTCGAGGCGATTTCGTCTCGCATCCGACGGGATCCTTTCTCGAGCCGGTGAAACGAATCCGTCGGTACAGAGCTCTGAATCCCGGCAATCTTCCGTGCCCCGGTTCTTTAACGCGTCAAAGCTCTTTTCCCCGGTATCGGATTTAATTACGATTTTGCGAAATTCCACACTCACCGGCGTATGCTTCGCTTGGCCATCGCGTACCGAGTCCCTCGACTCGCTCCTGTAATGATTCAACGTGGAATCCTTTGGCGGAGATCTCGAGGCACCGTTCGCGTGCGGCTTCGTTTGCTGATTGTGATTCGTGGATCTGTGATTCGGCGTGTGTGTGAGGGTCAACGAGGTTGGCTGCTCATCCAGCGGTAGCATAGGCATCACGGGACCTTTCATCCCGTGCGGTCCTTTTACGGTCATTATCCATGGTTCGTCCATGTCGCTGTCTTGCTTCGACTCCTCCCTGTAATCCACCAGCCAATCGACGTTATTTCTCAGAAATCTTGCCGAACATTCTTATTCATCGGCATGGATACTCACGAGTCCGAATTTTCGCTCTCCGTTTCGGATTCCTCGCTGCGTTGCGACTTCCACTTCTTGTATCGGTCTATGAGGTCGATCAGGTACGAGTTTTTCTTCGCCTTCCTGATGAACTGGAACTTTAGCAGTTCTTTCGCCGTTGGCCTCTGGAAAATGGAAAAACGGAAACAGTAATTACGGGATGAGGTATAACGAGAATGCGTCCGACTACTGACGGCTGAATCTACCCGCGAACGCAAACTGCCCGCAAGAATTCCGAGTGTAACGAAGATTCTTTAGAAGGTACGTGCTGGTAGCTCGGAAATTAGCACAGCGATACGCGCGTGCAGCTCGCGTTGCATGAAAATCAACTCACGTTTTCGGGGTCCTTGTTCAGGCAGGCCTCGACGAATTCCTTGAATTGCTTCGTATAATTTCCGGTTAGCTGGGGCGGATTGTTCTTGGGTATGAGAAACAGTACCCTCATGGGATGTAGCTCGCTGTTCGGCGGTTCTCCCTTGGCCAACTCGATCGCGGTGATGCCCAGCGACCAAATGTCAGCCTGCGGAACAAGCGTTCTCCGCTTTACGACTCGCGAGGTGCTAATCACGCGATAATTACAACGTGACCGTTCCTTGCATCTTCCAGATATATCGCCTTCCGTGACTGCCGCGAAGGCAGCGGAAGGAAAACGGACAGCCGTTCTACTACGGTCTCTCGAAGGTAAACTCGCGTTAATTCAACGATCGATCTTCTTCTCGACCGGGGAAGAAAGGTCGGGAAGAAATGCTAGGAAAATAGCCGGATCTTCCGGTGTGTGATTTTTTCAGCACGGAGAGTGTACGGATAGAGAGAAGGGAGATTAAAGTTTGCAGGAGAGGCCGCAAAGAGGTAAACAAGGTAACCATGTTGAACCTAGGGACGGAAAGTCAGAAAGGCAGGTAATAAAATTAAATCTCCCGGGATACGTGACCGGACTATAACCTGCGAGCAATGGCCTCGAGTAGGAGAAACAGCGAGATGAAAAATATACCGGCAATTGCGGAATATCGTCGCTTTTCGTGGTTTCGCGTGATTACCTTGGAATCGTAGGAGGCCTGCTTGATGACTTCCGGTGCCATCCAGAACGGCGTGCCGACAAAAGTGTTCCGTTTGCTGGTCGTGTTGGTCAGCTGTCCGGCCACACCGAAGTCGGCTAATTTAACGTCGCCCATTTCGCTCAATAAAACGTTTGCGGCTTTAAAACAGACAACAACCATAAGTTAGCAAAGGTAGCGAGACATTTCGTCGCGGTTGCCTCGCGATGCGACTATTCCTCCTTCATACGAAAGGTCGAAATTAATTTTCAAACGGATTAATTCTCCTCTTTGGCTTTTCTCTTTCCGGTCGGCCGGCAAACGAACCAACCTTTAATATCGCGATGAAGCTTCCGTTCGCTGTGAAGATAATCCAGCCCTTTCAGCACCTCGCGCAATATCACCGCGATGTGCATTTCCTCGAAGTTACCGGCCTTCATCAAGTCCAGGGCTGAGCCGCCACCCAAGTACTCCATGATAATCCATAGTTTCGTTCCCTGCAAACAGAGAAAGATCCACGCTGTACGAAACATCCATAACCTCTCCGCGCAGCGGAAACATCGCCGATACGTCCTCGAAATCGTCCACTAATTTACCCTCTCGAACCTCGGGGCTAATAGGATCCTCGAGAGACGTCTGAGAGACAGACGCGCGAGTATATTTCGCGGATCCGTTAATGAAGAAACGAAGAAACTGGGGACGAAGCCAATTAGCGGAAATAGACGTTTCCGTGCTCGACGAGGGTACTTTATTTTTGGTAAAAGACGACCTTGAAGGCGCCTCGGTTCTCATAGTTTCGCGTGGCGGATTAAAGGCCAGCCGACGGTAGCAGAGCTTTCGAAAGCCACGTACGCTGTGTGCAAACGATGCATCTTCATTAGTAACGGTAATTTTTGTTGCCGTAACGCGTCGTGTCGGCGGCGACCGCGCCTTCATCGATAATTATACCCGACATCGATGTCCAATCACTGTGCTTCTAGGCTTGTGCACCGGTGTAAGGATGATTCATTGGTTATCCGATAATCGCATGCTCGTAATCGACAGATTAATCAGTGGCTTGCACAAGGATGTTCAAGATTCGCGCTCTTTGGTCACCGGCTTGTGAAGGAGTCATTAAGCAAGCGGGATCGAGACACGAGGACAGGATGATGACTCGGTGTATATAACTGTGCTCGATCATCTCCCCGAGCGATGGAAAAAATGATAGTCAAGGTAACCACGTGGCGGAGACAGATCAACGGTTCGTCGGATTCATCGATTCATCGGTGGAGAGATCGATGCGATCTTTTTATCGGTCGATGCGTCGGTCGAGCCCCGACATGATCCTGGCAGAGTATCGCGAGCAGGGGCATCGTTGGCCGGGTGGAATACGCTGAGGGAAGATTATCGCGCTGCGTGTTACGATGCCTTGGAAGAATTTGCAACGGAAATCCATTAGGATTCTAGGTAGACTCGGAGGTAAAGTATCGAGACTATAAATCACGCGGTGGAAGAAAGAAAGGCGACGCGAGAACGTCTTCTGGGTGTACTTGGGAAGATTTCCTCGATCGTGTTTCAGTCGTCAGGCAGGATGACGAGGTTGACAGCAGCCGACACTTTATGGGGTATAATTTTCACGTAGTAAGCACGGAGTGTCCAGTTCGACTAGGGGCCCTACATTCATGGTACGGGGTAAGCCCATAAAATGGCACCATTTATCATCGTCCTACGGCGAGGAGGTGCAACGCCGGCCGGTTGCGTTTATTCTCATGTAGATCCACGTCAACGTAGGTGGCCAGGTTCGCGAGGGTTCGTTCAACCTGGTTTTCAACCAGGCCACTTCTGCAGACGCGAAACGAGGGGTTGCTAAATCATTCCCCTATCCGGGCAGACACTTTTTCCTTCTTCCACCCGCGCGTTCGCCTCGAGGACCGAAAAAGGGACGAGGGAGGTAAATGCGAGGCACGAGGAGGAAGGTGTTACGATGCTTTTCTAGGATTTCACTTTGCCAGCCGGCCATTCTTGTTCTTTTTGCGCCAAAGGATTTCGCTCGAGCGTTACGCGTGTCAGGCCGAGGGTAGCGTACCGCTCTCTTCTTCCTCGTTCCGTTTCGATTATTTTCCGCGGGGAAGAATGCGATGGTCCTCTCCGTCGCGGATGTCGCGAAGACGCTTTTAATTAAGAAGCATCATCGAGTGGAGATTAATTACGACGGTCTCGATGAAAGAGCGAACCACCGTTGAAATAAAATGGCAGGCTCGGCTGGCGGGAACGAGCGCGCCGGGTTCGCTCGTTCGGAAGAAAGTTGCGATCATCTGTCAGCGCGGGCATTTCAAGTTTATCTCAGGCAGACGCGGAGAGCCGCGATAAAAGAGGCACCGATAAACCGGCGCGAGCGATTAAAACAAAATAGGACGTTAATCCTATAGTTGCCCGTGGCGTTTTTCGTTCGTCGCTTTCGCTTCGCGCAGTTATTCTCGCGATTCTTTTGCCTCGCGGATAGGGATGGTTGCTGAATGAGGGAAACAAAAGGTAGAAAAAGAGAAAAAGAAAAGAAAAGAAGAGGAGGAAAAAAAGGAGGAAGCAAAAAATGCTTTTCAGTTTAATGAATGTCGCCTCGCGTTAAAAACAGCCGCGTCACGAGTGTGTCACGTCTGGAATCTCGCATTCAGACGCTCTCGAGAAACGCTGCAAGCGGTGTGAATAAAAATAAGCGACACCTGATAAACGAACGAATTTGTCGGGCCTAATCCTTCGTGGCGCCACCCTCGAGTCTTCCCCGCGCGACAATTAAAATTTCCACGGGATAACGAGGAATTAAAGTAAACGTGGAACACGACGGAATGGGGCGGCGCGTATGTAAATTCCCATCGCGAGAACGATTGACTGCCTTTCAATCGCGTCCAACCTGCACCGACAGAAGGCAGCTGGCGGAGGGTGCAGGTTGAAACAAACGCAACAAGAAGCACAGTGGCGCAAATATTGCGCGATTTCCAGTCTGTCGCATCGATGAACGAGGAGGAAGAAAGGGGGCGCAGGAGAGAAAGGGATGGCAGCCGCGTGCAAACGCGAGTGTCGTTGTGAAGAAGCGAAAGAACGCTGGACAAACGTGTGATTAATGGCCGATTTTGCTTCTCTCTATCGCGCGTGTCCTTTTGTTCCTGCGTTTTGCAAAACGGCAGGCGTGCCGGTGGCAGTGATGAACGATGCGACGGAATTAATCTTCGCTCGCGCGATGTTCCAGTCGAATCTGCCCTCCTTCATTCGCCGTTTCATTAATCCGAGAAAAACGCGCGATTAATTGCCGATAAATAATAGCAACGCGCGAGAATATCTTCCAACCTTTCACCCGCCAATCCCTCGCACCCTCGCCAATCCCTCCCCTGTTACTCTGGCCACGGCACAAAACGGATAAATCCATTTTCCTTGGAATAAACAAAAATTTTCGTCGAATCATCGAAATTACCTACCACAACGTTCTCCTGGTGCTCTTTTTCGAGGCCTTGGGCCACTACCTTATCGTTGGAATTCCCACTGCGCTATCCTCGCGTTATTTTTTACTGCTGCAATTTATCCTTCCTCGGGAGGCTAGATACTCTCGTTTAGATTATTCTCCTCGGAATCCTCGTGGGTGTCGGTATCGCTTCCCCGAGCGTGGAATTTCCTCTAAACCCCGATTTTATCACGCGGCGGATTGGGTCAGGGATCTAGCCGGGTGATAGATTATTTCTCACCACTGACCCGATAACGCGCATCGTCCTCGGTGGTAATCGGAGCTGGCAGAAGAGCCTGCGGAACCAGCGTGGAGATTTTGCATAAAGGATGTGGGAGGTGGACGGAGGAGGAAAGAAACGTGGAATTAACTGGATGGCTGTCAATACCGGCCGGTGCCGCCGCAGTGAAAGCGGACAATTTCAGTGGGCCGTCAATTAGAGGTAATTGCCGCGAAACTAGGAAGCCGAGAAGGGCCATGCCTCGGAGAGTGGAGCGGAAAAGAAATTCGCGGCTGTTTGGAGTCTAGGCGCGGCGCGACGCGGCTTATTCTCGGATCGTCGTCGAATCAGGCAAATCGGAGCCATTAGAAAATTGGTCGGCTAATAATAGAGGCTTGGTCGCGAGGAATGACGGAGCGTTACATAAAGTCATCCTCTTCGACGCTCGCGGTTTTTTTTCCACGCCTGTGTGCTCGAGTGGATCGCGGTTATTAATTTTCCCCGTGAGCCTTTAAAAGGAAACTACCGGGACCACCTATTCGTATCGACGATCCGCTTAACCCACATAGCCTGGCTCCTCCGTCGCGAGATTTCCGCGGGGCTCGGAAGATCGCGGAGCCGAAGGAGTCGGGCGATACTCGCGTCGGAAGGACGAGCGGAAGGACGAGCGGAAGGACGAGCGGAAGGACGAGGCAATCGATGATTAAAAAAGACAAGGACGAACGGATCGCAATTTGGTTAAAAGGCCGGCAATTTAGCGTTCGAGGCCGAACGGCCGCGTAATAAGCGTCCAATTAGATTTATTCATTCATAAAATCTGAGATGCTCGTTCCAGTCTGAGCTCGTCGTAAGTACGCGCCACGGAGAATCGTCTTTTGTTCGAGAAACAATGAACCGAGCATAATGGAGAAGAAAGGCGCCAGTAGGGAATGCAGCAGGATTCTCGACGCTTAGATGCCAGTGCCGATATTCGAATCGCGCAAACTCGCCACAAGATTCTCCCCCGAATCGACTGGGGAAAAACGAACTGGATTTTCCGACGGGGAGAAATTAATTATTTTCGAAGGAAAGACGAGAGCGAACGAAGAACGGGGAACGCGAGTCGGGCAGCACAGGCGGGGACAATTAAATCCGATGACCGAGGGTTACGGGAACTCGAAAAATACTCGATCGACGATTCCGAATGGTTTTGTAATTACTCGAGAGGGAACAATAATAATCCGACCGTGGAGAGAGAAGGAGAGGAAGAGAGGAAAACCGGCGCGAAGGCAGGGAGAACGACGAGACGCCCCTCATCATCCTCGATGCATCCGGATTGAGAAACGTTAAGGAGTGTCGCCCAAGTACGATGACTGTTATTGCTCGCCTCGACCTACCCACCCGGTCGAAATACGTCTCTCGCGCGTTTTTCTCGTCTGCTGCTGAAAAATCCCGCATTCCAGACACCTCTCGGGTCCGCGATTTCGAAACCAGACGCGTCGCGGCGCCCGCAACCAGCAAAACTCGCGGCTACGCCTTGTAAACCCGCAGAAAATACCGCCTTTCATTCAGCTGCCGCCTTTCTTCGCCTAGCCCACGCGACTACCCGAATTAACCCTTAGCCCATTAGGCTGACGGAGAGGGTTGCAATCGATATTCGCGGTTTACGCGGATCTCTGAGCGGGATAAACGCGAAAAGCGCTCGTGGGTCGCGATTATCGCGATTATCGCGATTCAGTCGTCGGGAAGAAGCGCTTCTGGAGACCGATAGCCGTCGTTGACCAAGCTGGTCAAATTAACAGCAGCTGCGACACGGAGGAAGATCTCGAGAGACGGAGCAGGGCAGGAAAGCGAGCCAGAGAGGGACGGATGCGTCCATTGCGCGATGACATCAGGCACGTAAATGTCCGCGTAGGTATCGCGTGAGTTTTTTCGGGCTGACAATTATCACGGATGTGTCATCGGTTCTTGGTATTGTTCGCGACGGGTGGAGACGAGAAAAGAAGAAGCAGCGAAGAGAGGGAAAGGAAAATAAGAGATGCTCAGGTGCGAAGGAGCGAAAGAGGGGACCCAGTGGAAAATGAAATCTCGTAGGCGAGCGTGAAGAAATCTCCGGAAGAGGCCGTTGCTTTTGTTCGCTCTCCCTCTCTTTTTCTCTTTCCTCCGCGTCTCTTTCCGTGGCATCGATGGAGAATAGGTATCGGGAATGAGATTGCGGAGGATGGAGGATCCTTTTGTGCGCACGGCTGTGATTAATGGCGGCACAATAGCCGCGTGCCGTGGGATATAATCGTACGCGACACACGGCCGAGGATCGGTTTAACGCCGTTATTACCGCGACACGTCGCGATTCTCGAAAAGCCGATATCGAAGACGTATTTCGCGCCTGACGTAACGCCGTAATCTTCCCCGGATAGCCGACAATTCCGCGGGATCCACCGGCTAACGCGTCGTGTTCCGCTTCGCGATCGGTTAACCGTATAAAGCGCAGGAAACGCGAATCGAGAGAGAAATTCGATCGTCGTAGGCTCGCCGATCTAAATCTTCGTTCCGCGTTCGCGCCGATTGGCCGGGAAATTTCTTTCCGCGGATTCGATACCGGTCACGATCGACCAAGCTCGACCGAGCGATTCAGGGCTGCATGGTTATGCATGATTTGGCTCCATTGGGCCAACGTATCGACGATTAAATCCGGGGCGGAATGAATCGAAACGATCGTTATCCTCCGCGACGGCGACGAGAGGGAGTAGCGTTAATTGCGAGACAAGGGTAGAAACAAGCAGCTCCGATTCGCCGCTGGGAGTTCGGAAAACGAGGAAACGGATTAGAGGGACGCGCGAGTTCCCTTCATTTCCGCGCTCGAGAAGCGGAAAATTAAGACGATTACCCACGAAACGAAGCCATGTCCGACATTAAGCTCGGCCAAGAATCTTCCCTTAATGACCGCGCGAAACGGTCATTAGCGGTCGTTGGTTACCTCTTCGATGCTTCGATCGAAATACGCCGCGGGTAGCGACGCAGAGTCTCGAGAAAGAAGATTCCGGAGTCGTACGAGAAGTCGTCGGTTGGCAGGAAGTCGAAGACCGGTGGAAAAATTGCTCGATCACGCGAGAACGCGTCTACCCGAGGCCCCGTTCTACAGAGGAACCTGGTGAACCATGAAAACGCATTCCGCGGGATTCTCGACACGTTTTCGACCGGTCTCGACGAGGCGCGTTCAGGCTTGCTGCTTTTGTTGCATCGTCCAGCGACCGATGCTATTCGTGAACTCGTAAAGCGGCCAAACGCGTACAGGTTCGCCGTGGAACTTGGTCTTCGTCGATCGCGTGGTGGAACGAGTCGAATTTTCCACCGGGACAGTCTTTTTCTTCGACGGAATTTTCCGCGGACAGAAACCGGAGATCTGGATCGAAAGTGCGGAAGAAAACGGCACGAGGTAACGTTAGAACCGTGTCACTGGATGCAATTTTATTTCTCGATACTTTCGAGCGAGCACGTCGGTGCGGCCGCAGGAAGCGGAAGCGTCTGTGCGACACTGTCCAGCCGGAAGCGATGGTTAACCGAGCGTCAAGCCCTTTCCATTCTTCGCGTATGAAAAATGACGGGGGCGTATCGGGCGAGTGTTGGTAATAGCGGAGCAAAAAGGGTTCCGTTCTCGCAACACCTCCGAAAATATCGTGGAAATTCATCGAATCGGAACGGCGACGGAAAGGCGTGGTTCGCTGTAAATTTTTCGTCCACGGCAACCCGCAATTCACTGGACACAGCTTTTTACGCGCGACACGAGCGAACCCGATCACGGTAATTTGTTCTCCGGCGAACACGCATCGGCGGACTCTGATTATCCAAAGTACCCGTGTAAATCGCCTACGGTTCCCACTCCTCTCATTTTCAATTACGACACGGGCGTATCGAGTCGCGCCGCGTTTATCGAGACGGAAATTAAAATTCGAAAGGATTAAAAAAAAGCACGCGGCTCACCTTGAGATAGGACCCGTAATACTTGGTGACGTACGGGCTGTCGCACTGAGACAGCACCATGATCTCCTGCTGGATATCCTCGATTTCATCCTCCGCCTCCTCGAGATCGATGATCTTGATGGCGACAACCTGCTGAGACCTATTGTCGATGCCTTTGAACACCTCGCCGAAACTACCCTTCCCGATTCGTTCTTGTTTCGTGAATATCAGCTCGGGGTCCACCTTCTGCAACAAACGACTCTCCGTTAGCCGAGCACTGTCACGTACGCGTTCTCACACGCGAAGCATGCACCGCGTATGCTCGGTGGCTCGGCTTTTTGGCAAATTTCGCGGAGATCAGGCTACCGCAATGGCGAAAGTTGCAACGGACTTTACGCAGGCCTGGCTTCGCGATTGCGGCAGTTTTGATACGTTTCGCAACGGCTCGAAGTGCCCCGAGGTAGAATCACGCCACTGGACGTCGTCCTCGAGGGGATCAAAGATTCACAGAGAAGACCCACGTGGGACTTTCTTTAACCGCGCGTCCTTCGAAAGCTAAAGAATGCAGTTACGTCGCTGAGAAATGCAGTTCGCCTTGGCTCCTTTCTAGCCGATGACACGCGATGTCATAGCGGATGGCGGAGAAACGCGTGTGCCATGTATCATCGAGTAATCGATCGACCCGGTCCGATTTAGCCGCGTTCGCGATGATTCGGATAGCTACCATCTTCCTCGACGTACGACGCATGCCGATCGTCTCGGCGAAGAAGACTTCGAGGACGAGCCAATCAACCAGCATGGCGAGAGCATATGGGAAGAAAGTCATGGGTCGTCGGACGGAAAGGAGTACGCTAAAAGCGCGGGAATAAAATCGATACCCCGTAAATTCATCGAGGCGTCGAAACGCTCTCGAACGTTGGCGAATGCGCGGGCCGTATGAGAAAATTTGCAAAGCAGATTTCCCGCATTTTACCGGCCGTCTGTCGCGGCTTTTCCACCCTTCGCCAACCCCTCCGCCCGCCCCCGCCCGTCCCTTTCTATCTCCAATCTGGCCTCTGTGATGCGAGCTTTTTATCTACGTGACTTTCCACGCGCGCACCTTACAAATACACCGGCGTGAGCGGATTTTAAAAAGGGAGGAAAATAGAGGAGCGCGTGCGTCTGTTTATCGCCGCTTTCATCTCGCGACTCGACGAAATTTTTCCCGTTCCACGGAAGCGGAATAACCCACGGGACGCATTCTCTCGTCGTATATTAATTTCAGCGCGCGATACGCGCGATCTCGCGAGAGAAATTTATTCGCGAAAGGCCGCCGTCGCCTCCGAAGCTCGATCCGAACGTCTCTCAGCATTCAGCGTCCTCGTCTCCCTGCGATCTCCATCTGCCCTATCTCGCGTCTCCGGCTTTCCAATCACGTCTCGCGCCGAGGAACATCTCGCAACGAAATCAATTGCCTCGAAAACAAGGAAGAAACGAAGGCGCAGGGAAAAAGGAAGGAGTAAAGTTCGGAAGGGAGGAAAGAACGGAGGAGGCGAGAGGGCGGAGAGGGCAAGAGACGAGGGGTGGCAAGGAGGAATAAGTAGTTTCGAGCAAGTTCGAACGGCCTCGATTTCTTGCCTTTTTCCCTCGGCGTGGACTACTGTCGTTGCGGCGATTAGGGCCGACTCCCGACTGCGTTTCCCGGTGCCAAGAGGCAAGATGAAAAACGGCGGCGTACGAGACACGGGAAAGGAGGGAAAATCGCTTATACGTTGTTCCACGGACGACCACCGGGGAACACGAGCGATAAAGAGAGAAACTGCGTTCGCGCGATGTTGCTCTGCAATGGAGTCGAGAGGAGGCAGGCACATCTTAGCCCCTTTTCCCGTCTGCTCGCCGCGCGTACTGCATGAAACTCACGACGCAAATTATAATTAGCGGGTGTCAGCGGCACAGAGAGCCGGCACGTAGGTGGTTAAAGTACCGACAAGGGAGGCTGAACAGCACCACCGTGTGCCAGGGAGAGCTTAGCGTACCGGTTCTTCTTGATTTCCTCGAGATCTCAGCCCGATGGCGCCGCCTGATAGCCGCATAATTAAAGGATAGACGAAGAGCCGAGCTTTGCCTGGGATTAGTCCATCGAAAGCGTATTTCTCGCATTTGTCTCGAACCAAACTTTCGTCGGTTTCGATCCGATCGCGTGCGCGAATCTCGCGCATCTTCCCTGGACGAAGGATCAAAAGCTCGATCACCTTCCTCGTTTCTCGCACGCGAAAGATTAACCAACCCTTTCGTTGGTGCGTCGAGGGATCGACAATGTCCCCCGAGCGATCCGAGCTCTCCCTTGCGCGTTTTCTTCGATTAAATTTCGATTAAACGAAGCGAAAATTCGGAGACGCGCAAAGGGACGCGGGATCGAAACGTGGGAGGTTTTGGATCATCGTTGGGGGAGAAGAGAGAAGGATAGCGGGGAAATTTGAAGCTACCCTCGTCCCATTAAGCCGATAAGGATCTCGGAAGCGAGACGCGCCGTAGGCAGTGAATTATATCGGTGCGTGGTCAGACAATTAGCGAGGAAGTCGGAACGGGACGACGGTGTCTGTTGTTCCTAACTTGCCACTGATTCTGTTACGCTGCTCTGCTTACGTGAGACTAACCAGAATTCCGATGGGCAAGTTACCCGTCCCAAAACTGAATTACTCGGCAACCTCGTGTTAAAAGGGGCGCGTGTTGCGCTTCGCATCGCTGCCAACCCAGTTATGCTTTTGCTCCATGTTATATAATTGACAGAGCGATACCGCCGTCGAGTAATTAATGCCTCCACGCCGCGGTCTCATTGTATAAAATCACTAGCATTCGCGTTGACCTACAATACCGCGACGAACCGACTGTTTTCACTGAGAGACCGGCGATCGTCGGTAGAAAGGTACGGTTTATAAAATATTTCTTCGCTCGGGTATAGAATTTAACGGTACAGGGATTAAATAACAGGCGAAGACGCGAGTCGATTAAGCGGAAACGATTCGGGTATCGTAACGACACGCGATAATTAGAAATCGATGCCGAGTCTCGTGACAGGTGGCGCGTTCACGCCGCGACGATGCTGGCTCTGAAAGCCAGATCGGGGCACCAAACGATATCTATACACCCTTGAATTTCGGCCATCGAGGCGAACGGTGCCAACTTCCTTACGCTACTACGCTCTTTCGCAATATCGCCGGTCTATTTTAGCAACAGCGGAGCTATCGGTTCTCGTCGACTCGCAGCTTCCAAGGAATTCGTCTTCGGGAACGCGCGAAATCGATGACTGGCACCGTCGCGCGTTATTCCCCGCTAATAAACTATACCTCGAACATTCCAGTTCCTCGAGCGAATTTTCCAGCCAAGGAATTTCATCGAAGATACAGCTACGAATAGTCGGAGATTACTCGGTACACGTAGTTTTTCGCCCGACTAAACACACCGGCAACTAGCTCGGTATTAATGCTCAAGGTGCGACGAGACGATAGCGAGCGCAGCCAGCAAACGCTTTGTATTTCGGCCTGACAAGCGTTCTAGGGTCAATCAGCAGAGTCAACATAGGCAATAATAGCACGGGCAAACAAAATCCGGCGCCACGGGATTACAATGTGTAACTGCATCTCGGGTACCGAGCGATGTTCCGGCTGCAGCTCGGCGAGCGGCGTCGGAAATCTCGCGGAACTCGCAGTCGATGCGACGAGAGGCCTCGAGAACGCGTGGAAGAAAGAAACTTTTCACGTAATTAATTATCGATCGCGCGTTAACGAACGTCCCATAGGACACGGGGGGCAGGGGGACGATCGAAGGAGCGCGGCCAGAGTTTCGTCGGCGCGAGCGAAAGTCGTGGAAAACGTTCGACGTTACGTTCGGCGGCGTTTTCACGAAGCGTTACGCGATCATCGACCCGTGAAACGAGACGTAATAATATAGTCCAGCGGGATGAAAATGGAGGGACCAGCGACCTTTAACTTACCCGGGAGAAAGTAACGGCCCACAGGAGATCGGTTCCGTGGCTAGTCAGACAGAGCCAGGTCGGAAGGCGCCGCGTGACGAGAGATATTTTTAATCGCGTCCTTGTCCACGCTGTGTCGACCGATTTTTTTTTTTTTTTTTTTTTTCATTCTTTTTTTCTCTCAAAGTATCGGGAAAGCCTGGATAGATCTTTGCCAGGGCCGTAAATAGACGCACGCAGGGAGCGTGTGGACTAATAACGCGATCGAATCGAGACACCGGAGAAGAAAAACCCGCGCTGATTCCACGAAGCGGCAGGTAAAAGTGGACCAACGTGATTTTCTAACGGGGTCGTTAGGTAATCGTAGGAGATTCTGTGACGTTGGCACGCCGTTACAACGGCATTTCCATAAAATTCCAATTTACGATCATGGGGAATGGCCGGCGCCGCGACGGGAAAGATTCTGGCCGAGGCTGAGCTCGGTGAACTTCAACGTTCGAAAGTAGTTCAACGAGCGTGCGTTAGCGCCATGTGTCGTTCGACCTCGTTTGTTGCGAGAGTAATTTATCGCGCGAGAGGGAGCTGAAATTAAAGTTTAAACGGCACTTCAGGGCCCGACCAAGTGATTCCGAGCGTGGCTGTGGACCACGCGCGTCCGTGTCTCGCCGCGTCTACGCGCTCAAACGAATCGCGCGTGCGAGCACGCGGACCCGCTGCGAAATGAACGAAAATCACGGTGGAGAGGCGACTTGGACGCGAGATGCGTTTGCCTAAGATAAATCCCGGCTTCGCGCTCTACTAACGGGATCAAAACGCGCGTTAAAAGGCGCAACTCCGATACACGTTTCTAATTCCCCGAGAAGCGGCGTTATACCGCTGGCGTTGCATCAGATACCGGACTAACTCGGTTAACGTCATTCGCGATCTCCTATTTTCTCTTCTTCCTTTTCGTTTCCTTCTTTTTCTCTTTCCACCGAATCGAAAGGAGGAACGGTGGTATTTTTTCCGCGAGAGTTCGCTTTAATTCGCGAGTACGGCGCACCACCGGCTGTGATACAGCCCCTGGATTCCTCCTAAATGAGTTGCCTCGCCGATTATTACGTTATCCCCTAATTATCTTGAAAGCTCCGTCAGCCGTTGGTAATTCGATCGCTAACTTTATCAGTCTGGCATCGGGTCTCTCGAAGCCTGGAATTCTTTTCGCCGAGGGGACAGAGCGTGCTTGAAATTCGCGTTTTAAACCGTGGCAGAAGCGACGATGGAATATATCGCGAGACGGATAACTGTTTCTTCG